AAAAAAAAAAAAAAAACCCAAAATGGTGAAATGGAAAAATGGAATGGGAATAGATGTTGGAGGAGATGGAGAAGGAATCGCCCAGGACGAGAGAGAGACAGAGGAGAAGAGTGAAGAAGAAGGTTAATTTTGAAAATTTTGGAAATGATTTTAATTAATTAATAATAATCAATTTCTTATTTATTTGTTAAAATTAAAAATATCATGTAAACAAAAAAAAGTACCACCTCATCAACTTACATATGTTTTCTTTTCCACGTCAATATTTTTTTAAAAAAAATATAATTTTTTAACAACTTAACGTGACACCTGTCATTTTACTGACAAAAGGACTATTTTGGTACAAAAATGAAAGTTCAAGGATAAATTTGGTACTTTTTAAAGGTAAGGGACAATTTTGGTGCCAAAATCAAAAGTTGAGGGATCAAAATGGTACTTAAACCAAAAAAAAAAAAGAAAAAGAAATGAGAAAGACAACAGTCTGATCATCAGTCTGAGATGCAAAACTTATCATACAAGTCTCGAAAATCCCCACAAAACTCAACTCCTTGAGTAAATGCATATGCCTCTTTAACCATAAACAAGGAAAATAAAAAAAATCAGTGACAAAACCCTCAATCCACGATGAAAAATCTGCAAAAGAAACATCATAAAAAAACCCAAACCCCGAGAATGACAGGATTGATAGATATGACTGAACATTCCAGGTTGGAGATAAACCCCACGAAAACAGACACAGAAAAGCGCAAAACAAATATTAAAAAAAAAAAAAGGAATCTGCATCTATAGGAGTCACACAACTGTAAAAAATCTTGTAAGTAACACCCTCATTTATACACATGCATTCTGATAACAGGAGCCTGCCTAATGCCTGATAATCAATGGTAAGCTTCCCAAGAACTGCAAGTGCACATCATATAACAATTTCCTCAGCCATGTCCATCATACTTACATAGTTTGAATATAATTCATTCATCTAAAATCAAGCCAATAGTAGCAGTAATGGTCAAAGCCCCATCCAACAGAAACATAAAGTTCACATTGAGCATCATCAGATTGGCACTTGTATCATATAAAGTAAATTTGCATTAACAACACACTGAATTAACATTTAAATCATATCAATACCTCTAGAAGATTATGACAGATTGAAATGCCTTCATTTCTAAATATTCTACCCAATCTCATACACTTTTTCAAATCCACTGTTCGGTTTTTTCCTCAAAGAAATGGAGAGAGACGTTGAAAGGGCTGATCATATTTTCATTTCATTCTACTGAAATTTGTACATAGAGAATTTTAATTTTGAAATTCAAAAATTCAACCATGCATTCTCTATGCTTAAGCTGTAAAACTGATGAGAAGATCATACCTTTGCATTCCACTACTATCACAATATATACAGATTACAATAGATCTCCTTAACTTTAGGATCAAGTCAGGAAATCAACATACGATACAGAAATAATTAATACTAGATACGTATACACATGGTAATCTCATAATAGTGAGATTCTCATATCTCTAACACTCCCCCTCAAGTTGGAGCATGAAGATCTCGAATGCCCAACTTGCCGATGAGAAACTGGAAGGTGTCTCGTCCTAGTGCCTTGGTAAATAGATCAGCTAGTTGAAGATGACTAGGAACAAAACGAGGGCTGATGGTGCAATTTTGTAGCTGCTCACAAACAAAATGACAATCAATTTCGATGTGCTTGGTACACTCATGAAAAACAGGATTAGAAGCAATGTGGAGGGCAGCTTGATTATCTCAATGAAGCACCATGGGAGTAGAAAGGTGGACTGTTAAATCAGCAAGAAGATAACGTAACCAAAGAAGCTCGCTGGGTAGTGGTTGCCATTGACCCATTTTCGGCTTCAGCAGATGACCGTGAGACAGTGGTTTGTTTCTTTGTCTTCCATGAGATAGGAGCTGTACCTAACATGATAAAGGAGCTTGTAGTAGAGCGCCTGGTTAGTGGGCAACTAGCCCAATCAGAGTCGCAGTAGACAATAAGCTGAAAATCATTAGAGGCTGGGAAAAACAATCCTTGTCCAGGAGAAGACTTCAAGTATTTAAGTACGTTCATTGCAGCAAAGAGGTGGGATTCACGGGGTTGATGTATACACTGACTTAAGCTGTGCACTGCATAAGAAATCCCAGGCCTTGTGATAATAAGATATATGAGCCTTCCAACTAAACGACGATACATATCAGGATCACTAAGAAGTGGGCTTGTATCACATAACAACTTGTGTTGCTGTTGCATGGGAAATGTGGAAGGTTTGCAACCGAGCATGCCAGCCTCTTTAAGTATATCGAATGTGTACTTACGTTGACAAATAAACAATCCAGAAGGAGAACGGGCTATTTCCAATTCAAGAAAATATTTCAGACCGCCAAGATCTTTAATATGAAAGCAACCTTGTAGGTAAGCTTTTAGTGCTTGACATTGAGAAGGATCGTTGCCTGCAATAACTAATTCATTAACATAAACAAGCACAGCAGTGAATGAAGCACCAGAATACTTGGTGAATAAAGAGTAATTAGCCCTAGGCTGTGTGAAACCATAGTTGATCAAAGAAGTAGAGAATTTTTCAAACCATTGGCGAGAGGCTTGCTTTAAACCGTAAAGGGACTTGTGTAACCGGCATACTCGAGTGTCTCCTTTAGGTAGATAACCAGGAGGGGGAATCATGTACACTTCCTCATGAAGGTCACCATGAAGAAATGCCTTATGAACATCCAATTGATGAAGTTCCCAATTCTTGGCTGTGGCAATGACTAATAAGCATTGTACAGTGGTCAATTTTGCAACAGGAGCAAAAGTTTCATTGAAACCCAACCCCTCTATTTGTGTATACCCCTTTGCCACTAAGCGAGCTTTATACCTTTCAATAGATCCATCTGCCCTGTACTTGATCTTGCACCCCCATTTGGATCGAACAGCTTGTTTTTCAGGTGGGAGAATCTCCAAAGTCCAAGTTTATTTTGTTCCAATGGTGCAATTTCTTGCGCCATAGCATCACACCATTTTGGATCTTTCTTCGCCTGCACATAAGACCTGGGCTCATCATAACTAGAGATGGAAGTGAGAAACGCTTTCTATTTAGGAACAAATTTAGAATAAGACAAACAACTAGACAATTTATAAGGCTCACCTGAAGAAACTGAATTGGAGGCAGATGTAGATGAAGATGATACACAAGGAATTGAATATTCATAATCAGGAAGGTACTTAGGCGGTTACCTTTGTCTTTGAGATCTAACGACCCCCTCGGGGACAATATCAGGAAGTAGAACCGAAAGCATGGTACCTTGAGTAGAACAAATAGGGGAATCACTATTATTAGTGATGGTGGGATTTAAAACAGGTGACTCAAGACCAACTTCTTGTTCAAGACTAACTTGTTGGCTATCAAGTTCTACCGGTAAGGGGTTAGTGTCTAAAGTAGATGCATCATCACTAGTTATAGATAATGGAATGACACTACGAGATGTATTTGGAAGCTTTTGAACGTGAAGTTTGAAAAGAAATTGATTTTCATAGAACACTACATCCCTAGAAGTAAAAATTTTATTGGTTTCAAGGTCATACACTTTATATCCCTTCTGTCCTGCAGGATAGCCAACAAGGACCATGATTGGTGCACACCCGGATTCAACACCCGGGTGTGCACCCCCCACATAAAAAAAAAGACTGTTTGGTGGGGGTCCTGGAGAGGAATGCATGATTGGGCTTTAGGTCCATTTTTTTTTTTTATGCAGAGTGTGCACACCCGGGTGTTGGATCCGGGTGTGCATACATCATTTTCCT